CCCTCACTGTTTGGCCAGCAGCAGGCGCAGCCCTTCGGCTCCGAGTTCCATACCCTGCCGCAGAAGCCACTGGCACAGACCCTGAACAAGCCCCTCCGGCAGCAAAACTACATCCAGGACATCCTGCCGCCAAAGTCCCATGCGAAGCCGACGCAGCCATCGCTGCAGAGCGTGACCCCCCAGGTCTTTCCCCTCGATCCCGAGCCAGAGTCGATCTTTGGGTTGAACAAGCCGGCGCCCTCGTCCGCTCCAGCCTCAAGTGGAGGTCGGCAGCAGGAGGTCCAGCTGCTGTACGTGCCCTACGACACCCTGTACAACCAGCAGCGACAGCAGTCGGGCTCCAGGCCAGGATCTTCCAACTCCAACTTTGAGGTTAACAAGTTCAATGTGAATCCAGGACTTCCTGCCGTGAATCCCTACCAGATCAACCAGTTCTACACCCAGGATCCCAACGTGGGCAGCGACTTCTTCAGCGCAGGAACCACCTCTCGACCGAGCACCACCACCAGCCAGCCGCATAGCATCTTCCAGAGCTTTGGCCAGTCCCAGCCGCAGCCACAGCCGCAGGCACAGACGCAGTTCTCCACCGCCAAGCCCAAGCCGAAGGCTCACCAGCCCCCGCTGGCGATGTTCCTGCTGCGCTCCAGCTCCCGGCCATCGCAGTCGGATGTGGTGGCTGCCCTGCGCAGTGCCCACAGCATTTCCGTGATCGATTCCCCAACGAAACAGACGCCGGATATCTTTGTGGGACCCGCAGGAATGCCCATTCCCGATGGCTATGTGAAGTTTGATCTTCCGTATTTGTCGCAACTGGCGCAGACCCGCGACCTCAGCGATGTCTCCTTCTTCGTGGCACCGCTCAGCTATCGTACACCGAATGGATTCAACAAGATCCTCCTGCCCGAGCCGCATGTGGGTTCCATTGTGGTCAACCGCGCCAAGGACTCTGTTTCGGTGCAGACTCAGGCACCGCCACAGCGTCAGCAGCGTCCCTATGCAGCCGTGAGCAGCACGCGGAATCCCTTCGAGACCACAACCCAGGCACAGGCACAGGCCCCGTTGCAGTCGCAGTCACAGGGTGCATCGGGTGCATCTGTACGCGGGAACAAGTTCAGCTACTATTATGTGCAGGACGGCATCCAGGAGGTGAGTTCTCCGAAGATTCCCGCCAAGCAGGAGCGCCACAAGAAGAAGCGACCCCAGAACGTTCAGGTGGAGCATCAGCATCATCAGCAGCAGCAGCAGCAGCCCATCTACCGTCCACCCACCAAGACGCAGAACCCCTTCGACACGCTCAATCAGATCGGAGGCGATGACTTCTTCAAGTCGCTAACCAACAAGCCCACCACTACCAGCTCCACATCCACCAGCACAACATCGACCACAACCTCGACGACATCCACCACGGCGGCGCCCACCCAGCCCCTCTTTACGTACAGCACCCGGCCGCAGGTGGAATTCCCCGGCTCCAGTGGCCACCTGTATCCCGAGTACCTGCAGCCCGTCGTCCAGGAACAGCAGCCCCGCCTGACCACGAGACCGCCGACGGCCACCACAGTGGAAGAAGAGCATCGCATGAAGCAGTACTTCCGGCAGCAAGATGCCTTCCGCCAGCGTCCGCTCACTACGATTCCGCCCGCCTTCGAACAGGTTCAGTACACGCCCAGCGCACCCGACTACGAGGTGCCTACGACGCAGAGGGTCAAGAGCAAGCATCGCGTGAACATCTATACGCCCGCAGCAGTGCCGGTGACCACCTCGGATGTGGGCTACCAAGTGGACCAAGAGCAGGCGCAGGCGCCGCTGAATCACAGGCCCAGCTTCAACCAAGTGCAGAACGAGATTCTGGATAACAGCAACGTGGATTACGAGCCGAACCCCTACCATGTGCCGTCGGAGCTGCCGGCCTTGACGCCCGACATTCCCGGATTGGTCAATAATCTCCAGGAGAAGGACAAACTCCAGCCAGGGACAACCATCACGCCACAGAGTGAACCCGAGCCGGAAACGCGACCCACCCGCCGTCCCCTGCTGCGCACCCGCAAGCCAGCCGTTTCCAAGGTGGTGACCACCTCCTCCGTGTCGTACTCCGAATCCGAGTCAAGCGGAAAGGTGCCGCATCGCATCCGTCGACCATACGGAAACCGAGGCACTGCAGCCGGAACCGCCTCCACCACGGGCGGCGGCGGAGACCAGGGAGACGACTCTGCACCGATCCCCACCCGGCGACCAACCAGCGCCCGGAATCCCCTCATTCGGAATCCAAATCGCATCCGCTACAGGCCCACCACCGAGGAGCGCCAGTCGCTGAAGGTGAAGACCAGGAAGGGGTCAAAGAACGGCCAGCGCGAAGACCAGGATCTCGACTACCAACGTGACGTGCTCAAGCAAAACTATCCGGTGTTCAAGGGCTCCTCCTCCGCCCCCTCGCGCCGACCAACAAGCCCCACCGCCATTCCCAGTTCGTACGACTTCCAGGCCACCACCGAAGGCCCGGCATCGGAGTCACAGCAGGTGTACACGGTGACGCCCAGCAACAGCATCGACAGCGCCAGCGTTCAGGGTTCGGGATTCCCGTCCAGCCTGCTGGAGCCCATGCAGATCGCCCAGCATTACCAGGAGTTCTCCAAGGACAACTACGGGCCCGGCTACTTCCCCAATCAGGAGGATCTCACACCCACCGAGGCCATTGTTCGCAATGAGGTGAGTCCCATTATCACCACGCTGGCTACCACAACGCCCTCGACAACTACGACCAGCACCACGACAACCACAGAGGCAGCGCCCACGACCACAACCCGTCGCTCGCCGTTCGTGCGCCGAAACTATCCCAGGGTGAGGACTACCACCACAACAGAGCCGCCAGTGACCAGCACCACGCCCTCGGAGGAGCGTCCTTCCGTAAGAAATTCGAAACAAGATTTATCCAGAAGAGTTCTCTCTATGTCTGTGCTGCTATTTTCAGATTCGCACTCGCCTGCCGCCTCGTCGTGTGGTCAAGGTGCGACAACGTCAGCGTCGTCCAGGACACCCTGCCTCCTCCACTGCGGCCCCCGAAGAGGAAGTCCAGGAAGCAGCAACCCAGAGGACAAATCTCCGCAAGCTGAGCCGCTACAATCAAGAGCCCAAAGAAAAGGAAGTGAGTGGGAATGCTTTCCATTTTAGCGTCAAATCTAATATTTGAATCTCTAGCAGACAACCATCACCCAGCGGCGTCGCTATAAGCAGCCATTCCAGCTGGAGGGCCAAGAGTCCCAGTGGTCGCCATCCTCGGAGACTTCCAACAGCAACAACAATGCCAATGCCAACACCAACAGTTTCAAGCCACTGAATCCCAAGTACAAGACAGAGTCCCACAACTTCGAGAACGAGCCAGAGATCGTGACTGTGGGACCCACAGCGCAGCCCGAGACGTACGAGTTCAACGTAGCTGCGGATCTGGCTGGATCAGCCGTGCAACGCACCACCACCCTAAAGGCGCCGAACCTGAAGTGAGATTTCAATGCCCTTTGGCTGCCATTCAGTTACTTATTCCATTTCGTTACAGACCAGAGAAATCCTTTGCTGAACTGCTCGAGGAAGTGATGGGCAAGGTGCCCGAGGAACTGGCCACGGAGTCACCCAACACCAGCAGCACCATTGGAAGGCTGAATAGGCGTGGCAAGTGGAAGAAGAGCCGCGTGACTAGTGGATCGGAAAATGGCGAAAACTTCGAGACGGCCGAGTCCCAGAATCTGGGACCTCAGCTCTACAATGCCCTGCAGGCGGCCAGCGAGAAGGAGGAGCAGCAGCCGAAGACCACCACCCCGCTGACACCTGCAGCCACCGAGGCTGAGACAGCAGAAACGATAGTCCCCACCACGGCTGCCTCGCCCACGACACCAGAGGAGTATGAGGTGACCACCGCCAGAGCCTTGGAGGAGGCAACAATGGCATCGACGCTGCCGATGGAGACGCTGGAGAGTGCTACGCGTCGCATGGATACCGCGGCGGATGTGGATGTGGATGGGGATGGCGACCTGGAGACGCAGCCCAGCATCTTCTCAGAGGTGAAGAAGCAGCTGCACGATCTGTTTGCCATCGAAGAGAGCGAGGACGAGACGGTGAACGCTGCCCTGGCTGCCGCGGGTAAGCGTCGCCAGGAGTACACGAGCATCAAGCGCAGCACTACTCCAGCCACGTCCACGGACAAAACCACTCTCTCATTAGCGGACGATGAGCTGACAGCCACCACCACCACAGCAACAGAAGGTGCTTCGGAGGGTAGCAAAGATAACTTCCACAAGGACCTCATGGAGCATGTGGTTTATGCCACATCCACATCGACCAAAGTCACCTCCGAGACAGAGATCTGCTATCGCGGACGCTGCATAAGGTCCGAGGATCTGCCCGCCAACCACAAACTGCACTGAGCAGAGCACTCCTCCGGCAGAGCATGGTGGACATGAACTCTGCATGTACATAAGGGCAAACGGAATACGCACAGGTAAAGCCTGGGGCCGGGGCGAGTGAGGGTGGACAGGCGGCCGCCACCTTAAGGGGCGGCGCTAGTCAGCACAGCTCCTCATCCTCAGCCCCCAGAAGCGCACAAGCCGTATCCAGATGTAATTAACTAGCTTTAAATACAAATATGTTCATAAGGATAAGCAGATCGAGGTTTGATGGATGGATTCACCCCATGCCCATTCGCAGTGACTAGGACTGGTTCGAAGGCTGTAGAAGTTCTTGGATAAGACGAATATTTAGCTGAAGACGCTTTGGAATGATATTATATATTCCTATCAAAGAATTTCTATAAGCTTATCCTGCCCATCCTTGCGAGTGTTGTCAAAGGAGTTTTTCCCGGATATATCGTATTCCCGTTTAGAGAATTTAGTACATAGATCTTAGAGTTAGAGCATAATGTCAGGATAGCACATAGCCAGCATAAGTCTTGTACCATACAATATTGTGTACTAACAAATACAAATACAGATACCAATAAAATAAAACAACGAAAATTACATCTAAGCGAGAAATTTGTTAGGATTTGTATATGTTCTGTACATAAATAGAGTATATCCTTGTGTATATAATATAGTCATGTGTATAGCTAGTAATACGATGCTAGTTGCGATCAATCAATTCCATGGAATGCACTTCCCGTTTAAGGTACAAAAGTTTCACAATTTACAACCAATCCCCAACTCCGTGCTCGACCCATCTTCGCTTTCAAGCCTCGATAAGCGGCGCCCGATCCCCATCAAAGGCTTCTCCCTCTTCAGTAGATGTGGCCGTTGGCGTTCTTGTTGTTGGAGTGTTCCATTCTTGGACACCGGTCCGACCGAAGACCATGAAGAGCAGATTACCCATAAAGTAAACGAAAGCGGTGAAGAAGAAAACGATTCGCCATTGCGCGGGATTCGTCTGAAAGAGAGATATGACATTTGCACATGTGAAATCTAATAAATGCAAAAGTACCAGGCACTCACCTCATCCCAGACAATCAATCCCACAATAAGCGGCGCCAGAATGCTCATAAAGTTGGCTGCACAGTTCGTGATGCCCATCAGAGTACCAGCAAAGTTGGGCGATAGATCGATGTGATTGACGTGGAAGCCTAAATATGTAGCCGAATTGGTAGCCACTGCCGTGGTGAGCAAGCTAATGGCCAGACGGACATTGGACTCGCTCTCGGTGATGTAGCCCAGACCGATCAGAGCGAGCATGGGCAGCCACATGCCCAGTGTATTGAAGAACTTCCGGGAGAAACCCAGTGGAATGACTGTGCCACGTTGCTTCATTGCATCCGACAGCCAAATGAACACGCACGTGAGCAGTATCATGGCGAAGTAGGGTAGAGCCGACAGCGGGCCGTTGTTCTTGATGTCCATGCCCAGAACGCTTTTCATGAACGTGGGAATCTCTGTGAGCAGCGTCCAGAAGCCCCAGTTGTTGGCACAATGAGCCAGCACGAGCACCAGAAACGGTCCGGAGGTGAGAATGCGTCGCCAAGGCGTGTGCGGACGTGGCGTCATCTCGCGTCCTACATCCGATGGACGGCGTGTCTGGTTAGACGATTCGATGTAGCGACGCTCAGCCGGCGTTATCGATGGATGCTGGGCCGGAGTGCTTGAGCAGTAGAAGTACCACACACCCGACCACAAAATGCCCACACAGCCAGGAACATAGAAGATGCTGGGCCAGCCCAGCGAGGAAGACGCAATATAACCGCTCACCGAGAGCATTACCACCGTACCGAACTGTGAGCCCGAGTAACAATAGCCTACCAGTCGGCCGCGCTCTTCGGTTGGCGCCCATTTCGAGAGGAACGTGTGCGTTGAGGGGAAAATTACACCCTGGCAGAGACCCTGAATAGCACGCAGAACAACTACGGTCTTCCAGCCACCCGCAATGGCGCAAAAGGGCGTCAGCAGGGCGAGGCAGGAACATACAAGCACTCCAAAGAAGAGCATATACTTGGCACCATAGATGGCCGAGAGATAGCCACCTGGTACCTGTGTGACGACGTAACCCCAAAAGAAGCTGCTCAGCAGGTAGGACTTAACGCTCTCGTTCCACTCGAACTCCTGCAAATCAAAATAATGGATTATGTATATTATCCAATGAGCATCTAATGCATGGCTATGCCTACAGGAAAGTCCGGGTTGCTGGCATTGCGATCCGTCATGGCCACAATCGCCACGGAGAGGTTAACGCGCAAGGAATAGGCCACGGCCAGGCCAAAGAAGACCAGAATGCATTGCAGATGTCGCACTCCGAATCGCGGCCCTGAAAATATGTGCAACGTAAGAGAAAACAGATTCAAACAAAGAGGTCGGCAAACACTTGCCTGTGTTCCCTATTTGCTGGTAGCCAGTCCGACTGCAGCAAGGGGAGCAGCCGAGTACCATATTGCGGGTCCAATTCTATCCACGTACCCAAGTTAATAGATGTTATGCTAGTGATGGAGGGAGGAAAAGTGAAGGCGCCCTCAAGAGCGTCTAATATGTAAATAAAACTGCTGATAACCACTGATAAATATACTTGGCCCACTTAAGCCCCATTTATTTAAACTGGATAACAACTCGAGTTAAACCGCGAAAAATTATACAAATAATAATTATAATAGTAATTACTCTTGTAGGTCCATCCTAGCCTTCACTTTTGCATACAAAAACCCACGATATCTTTCACCTGAACTGCGCTAAAATGATTAAATTTTCATTATATTCGGTGGATTATTAAAATACACCGTTGTCTTACAATGGGTTAATTGTTCTCAGTCAAGGATTGGAAACCATATTCCTATATTATGATATTCCGTCAAATATTATTATCTAGGTAGAACATTTACGCATGCCCACGTAGTTTTATCCGATTAATTAACATATTCTCTACTTGACCAGTTTGTTTTAAACACTTGCTTTTATTGGATTTCTATATACTTTAAAAATGAAATTTAATAGATTGATGAAATTGACAAAATATCCCATTATATACCGATATACCGTGGCTTCAACGGTCACACTTTGCTCATCTATCGATAATCAACATTGAGGCGCCCAATTCAAATTCGGTTCAGTGTTTAAATAAAACAACATTAATTTCGGTACGATTTGACTTTCAGCTTCGACTTGAGCTGTTTTATTAAATGGCTTTGAATGTCTTCATTGATTTTTTTTTGCCTTTTTAGTTCACTTTTCGTGCATCACAAGTTGGTTTTAAGTTTATTCCTAGCTTAAATACTAAACATAACAATTACTAGAGTTTGTTTTTAGCAGCAAATACAACTATGTTCTGGGCTACTTCGCTATTTACACTGAACTTTTTCTCGTGTTGCAAGTTTAATTGGATTTTAGCTTTAGATTATGTACATTATGGAAAAATACTGCAAACAATAATTTACGCCGCCTTAGAATTAAACAATTATCGTATAATATCGCTAATGGAAGCACGCGATCGTCATTATGGTCTTGTTCCTAACTAATTGACTACGACTAAAAACTATGAAACAACAGCTATGACTTTATCATGCCATGCCCCTATCATGTGGTGGTTACCCAGACTTAGCGCTTGTCTTGGCCATTCGGCGACAGTGGCACTCCCTGCTCCACATCGTCCACCGTCTGCTCTGGCGAGTCCCACCACTGGACCTCCGTTCGTCCAAAGACCACGAAGAGCAGGTTGCCGATGAAGTAGGCGGCGGCGGCCAGGAAGAACACCAGACGCCAGTCATTTACATTTTTCTGTGGAAGATATCACAGTTAGCGAGAAACTCGAGGAACATCTGCAAAGAGTACACTTACCGGATCTTGGACGATCTGACCGACAACAAGAGGCGCGATGCCACTCATTATGTTGGCCGCCCCATTTGTAAGGCCCATCAGCGTGCCGGCATAGTTGGGCGACAGATCGATGTGGTTTACCTGGAAACCCAGGTAGGTGGCAGCGCTGATGCCCACGGTGAGGGTAAGCAGGACCACGGCCAGTAGGTTATCCTCCTTCGGCACGTAGCCCAGGGCAATGAGTGAGCACATAGGTATCCAGTGGCCGATGCTGTTGAAGAACTTGCGGTTGAAGGACAGCGACAACGACTTGTTCCTCTGCAGCACCTTGGACAGCCAAACGAAGAAGAAGCTGAGCAGCAGCATCACAGCGTAGGGCAGGGAGGAGAGTAGAGCGCTCTCCTTGATGTCAATGCCATAGATGTTCTTCATGTAGCTGGGGATCTGGGTGAGCAGCGTCCAGAAGCCGAACATGTGCGTGCAGTGCACCACCAGCAGCGATAGGAACGGCATCGAGGTGAAGATGGGTATCCAGGGAGTCGGCGCCAGATTATCGGCCGACTGCATCTTACCATCGCTGCGCGACTCCTCGATAAACTTGAGTTCCTCCGGCGAGATGAAGCGGTGCTCCTCCGGCGTGCTGGACGAGAACACGTACCAGAAGACGATCCACACGAAGCCGCAGGCTCCACCCAAGTAGAAGATACTCGGCCATCCCATGAAGGAGTCGGCAATGAATCCACTCGTGGCCAGCATCACCACCGTTCCGAATTGTGCGCCCGAATAGCAGATGGTTCCCAGCATGCCACGTTCGTTGGCCGGCGACCACTTGGAGAGCAGGGCATGCGTGGCCGGGTGCACTGCGCCCTGGGTAAGACCCATCGTGAAGCGAACCGCACACAGAGCCGTCCAGCCGCCGAGTTTGAGGGAGAGCGGTGAGATGATGGTCAGGATACCGGCGGCTGCCAAACCAGCGAGCAGCAGCATCTTGGCCCCATACCGCTGGGCAATGTAACCGCCAGGCACCTGGGTCACGATGTAGCCCCAGAAGAAGCTGCTAAGCATGTACGACTTCTGGCTTTCGGTGAACTGATAGTACTGCAGGCGGAAATGGGAGGGTTAGCGAGTGTCGGACTTGGATGGTTCCCGTGTCTTACCTCAGCATCGAATAGGTCAAAATCGTCGCTATCGTCGTCTGGCGTTGCGGTGGCAGTTTCATTCTCAGTGGCATTCCTAGACTGCGGCTCGGTCATGGCCACCAGAGCCACGCTGAGGTTCACCCGCCATGCGTAGCACATCGCCAGGCAGAAGAAGCAGAGGATGCATTGAACATGCCTCACGCCGAAGAATTTCTCTGCAAAAGAAAAGTGTTGGAATAGAGATTAGCTAAAGGTACACATACCCTGGAATGAATGATGAATGGGATGAACTTCGCTCTGATTAAGCACATGCGCCTGCGCAGACGCTCACTCTCCCAATCTTCCAATCTTCCAATCTCCCACTCTCTCCCTCAACAGGTGAAAACGTGTGTGGCTATGCTCTTATCAATAGACGCCTCTCTCTTTTCGCTGCGGTTCTCTTTGCTGCTCCCAAAACTGGTAGCCATGTAAGTATGTGGGGCGCGTTTATTTATAAAAGACTTTGACTATGTCAAAATCTTGTTCGTGCACGCACAGACATGCACAGACACGCTCACTCTCGCTCGCACAGACGCACACACACACATGTACACACGCCCACTATGAACAGCGTTGGCTGCGAATATTGAGAGACGAGACCTGGGCGAGTGCGAAGCATGCATGGCGTTGTAAGCGTATAAAATGCAACATACGAGTAACATGAATCTGCTGTACGGTGCTGTACATGTGGCCCAAAGCGCAACACTCTGCGTATCTCTGCGGCTGCCTTGTCACACTACCTGTTTGAGGCCGAACGGCAGTCGCCCGATCTTCACGTGACCAAACGAACACCTATGCCGCTGCATCCCAGAGAAAACATGATTTGGTAGTTTATTTATTGGTTGCTTGCACTACCTTACGCGGATTTTTGTAGGCTATTTTTAAACCCGACTCTAAGCCACCATAAATGGCTTAAACAAACGCCGAGCCGCACACATTTTGCAACAGTGCAACAGGCAACCTTGCAACGCGGCCTTACAAGGCGTTTGGGTCTATTGAACTCCAGTTGGAACTCCAGTCCAGTCCGATGCCGATTCGGAGCCAGCTTAAAGTCCAAACTAATAATTGCTTGTCTTCCAAATAATTTTCCCCAATCGGATGGATGATTGTTCGATGACGTCCGAAACGCACAAACATATGTACATATGTACATATGTATGTATGTATGTACTTTGGGGTCTGCCCGATCGAGAACACTCCCGCACACGCTCGCTCTTGCTGCTGCCGCTCCCTCATGACTCCCTCTCTCTCTCTGCTCACTGCTCTCTGTTTATGGAACTGAATCAGCTTCTCGTGCCGGACGCACCGATGACTCGTGGACAAGTCGGGTCGTGTGAGGAGCAACACTGAAAACGCTTTATCTGACACGTTTTTGAATTTATTTGCGGAATACTTTCTGCAGGCGGCTCCGCCTGCCGAGCCAAGCTAATTTATGGGTAAGATACAGAACTTTTGTCTGGTTTGTCCTCTGAGGGGGCACTAAAGAGAGTCGAATTCTGATTCTGCAAAGTTAAATTTTCTGCGGCACCCAAAAAAACGACACCATATCAATCAACATTTATGAGCTTCTATAAAAAAAGAGTTTCTGCTTTGAGTGTTTATTGGATGCCATTAGGGGTATATAGTATAGTCTGGTATATTTTGATTGATTGCCATTCGGCCGAGGCTGACTGTACCTAGGCGTCCGTTAGTGGGACAATCGGAGGACACAACGCAACAGCAAGAAATACAAAAACAAAACAAAAAGAACAACAACGAAGTCAAGTGTGCTGTATTGATAACCGACAATGAGCTGTACTCCGATAAAACTGGAACGCCACCGAGCTTTCCATAGGGGTGTACTGGGGTGTAGTAGGCAGAAGTCCCCTAAGTCGATAAGATAATCACTAGTTACAGCTCTGGCCCTACTTCACTCCCCCGCCGCCAACGGTCGCGTTGTTCTCTCACACGAAAAGAGCGTGCAAAGACCGTGCTCTTTCGAAATCGCTTTACAACTGTCAATTTGTCTTTGGGATTAGCTTATCAGCTGACTAAAGAGCCACTGCTCCCCAGGTCCCCCGTCTTGTCACTCTATGTAGATCTATTTAAAGTTCGGAATAAAATCAAAAGAAATACTAAATACTGTCGCTGGTTGAGTTTCCCCTCTCTTTTCATTTCTTTCCATTTCGTTTCGTTTAAGGTTTTTCATTCCGTTTTTGTTTATTTTTATCACCCGACAGTGCTAAAATGTGATTCGATTTTGTTTGGCAGCGTAACCAAAAAAAAAAAATAGTAAATACTTAATGAGGGAAAATCCGACATTTTTATAATATTTATTATTATATTTTAGAGTTGAGCGAAATGAGAGGGAAGTGCTCGGATTCTTTGTGCGAAGGATGGCGGTTGCAGTCGATCGCTGCAGTGGAGGTCGTCTATATCTGACTGTATATGCAATATAAATATATACTCGTACTGCATAATTATATCTGAACTCAACGCGGGCAACGACGCTTCCAGTCATCTGCAGTCGAGAGATAGAAATGTATCTGGAAATAGCAATCCGCAACTTATTTGGAGCGAACACGACAGAGATCAGATCGTGTGGGATTGAGTACGAGTATCTCCACGTCTGTTAGAGAACTAATTAAGCAATTTCCGGCAACAGGCCGCTGTCCGAGCTCGGAACATGCCAGGCGCCAGGCCCCAGGCCCCAGGCCCGCCACACGAGCGACTTATATAAGACACGTGCTTGGAGATCTCAGTGGAAATGGGAATGGCGATGGGATCTGTATCGTTGGATTGCACTTACCGTTGGCGTATTTACCTCCTGTTTTCACCATTGTCAGAGCGGTGGTCATGTGTGCGACGCGGGTTGAGAAATACTAGTATTTTTCAAAAAAATGAAACCTCAATTGGAACGTTCTCACTGGAATTTTTGTAGTATTCTTTTGTTTTTTTTTTTGTATATGTCACACAACGTGTTCCGGTTCCGTCATGAAGTTGGAATACACATGTGTGCTTATTTTATTTGAATTTTATTTAGACGCGAGTATACTCTCTCTTTCGGAGCTGTTTCCACGACTGTATATAACTGAGCACGCGTTGGATCCCTAGGAGGAGGTAGGTATCTTTTGAACGTTCTGGCGAACGGTGCGGATTGCGACTGCTTGAATAACTCACGGCGGTCGATTCTTTTATAAATATGATCGAAACGCTGCCGGACAGCGGGCCAGAGCAGAGGCCCGAGCCGAGCACTCTCTTGGTGGACAGAGTGCGAGGCGGCGGAGAGAGAGAGAGAGAGATCGAGATAGAGGCAGGGCAGTGAGAGCCAGAGTGTAAGCATGTGTATCTGTATCGCGTGAATTCCATTCCGTTTTCGTGCGGCGCTGCTATCAGTAAAAATGAACACGCTGGCAAGCAACCAACACGCACACACACACACCACACCACACCACACCACTATCTCATTCTCTCTGCGATTGGCACTAGTGTAGGTGTGGATTTCTCTCTGGTGGAACCGGCATGCATACATATGGGAGTATGTAAACAACACCAACACATGGACAGGACAGTGTTCGGTTATCAGTGCACTCTTTGCCTGCTATTCATCCTCATCCTCATCCTCCTCCTGCTCTTCCACTTTCCTCTTGTTGGTTTCTCAGTATTCGATTGTTTCTGTAACATCTACTCGGGCATTTTGGTGCTGTAAAATTAGTCACAGTATTCGGATGCACTCTCTCTTGCAGTTAGCTGAGATGTTTCTGGCATCTGTGTCTCTCTTTGTCCGTTTCTATCTGAGAGCTAGAGATGCAGTTAGATCTGGTATCTACCAGTTACTAGGCTGGGCGTGAGCATGAATGAAATGGAATCCTTGCTGGAGATCATAGCCGTACTCGTACTATACCCTTAAATGTAGATTTCTGATGCCTGTGTGCCTGATGATAAGGGTAATGAAACACCAGTCGAGGTCATTGTTTCCATTGATAAGCCTAGATCAACCTCATCTCATTACCCATCTCAACTCTGTTGCTGAGTTCCTCCTCCAAGATCTCTCGCCGTTCCGTTCCCGCTCTCTGTTCTAAAAAACGACGTAAAGCCTCGAGACTCTAGACGATCCATTACAATGCGGAGTGTGATCGATGGCGTGCCTGTCGGGTTTATTAACTTACATAAAAGCATCACCGTTGATCAATGCAATTTTCATTTCAATATGACAGCTTCTGCTATCCGAAAATCTCCGTTTTATAGCGAAAATTTTCCTTAATTATTTTACTTGTCATTGAATTTCCCTATCTTTTCTTTTGTCGTTCGCCTCTCTCGCTCAACCGCTGGTTATCAATTATAATTGGTGAAAATAAAATGTTTTAAACAAATTATTTATGCCTTATCAGTTTTTCGGGGCACATTTCAGACTTTGATTCGCGCCTAAGTAAATGAGCCGAGGCGGGTCCGCCGTCGGTCGCTCGGGACACTGCAAATTCATTCTGATTTCGACAAACGCATAGGTGGGGTGGTACAGAGAGGATGGGTGGAGCCAGGAGTGGGGCTCTGTCAGGGGGCACTGACGACAGACGGAGTTTGATAAGGCCCCACCCGATTCCCGATTCCCGTTCTGATTTCGTCTTCGATTCCAATACCAAATCAATTTTGGCACATGGCACACACGTTTGGAGGCACGTTCACGACGATCCACTGTCCGTTCCGTAAATAATGAGTTCTGGCAAATCTCGAGACGTTTCTTATCGAGTGTGGGACCCCACTCGATTAGCCCAGTCCCGTGGCACAATCCAATCCATTTAATAACCGGCTTATCATGCTGGATCTTCAGCTAAAGAATTAACCATCACCACGAATGGGACAGTTTCTATAAATGATTCGAGCGACTTTCAGATTTATGACTGGACTAAATTTAGAGAATATTGTAGAGTATTCCCGGCGATGGCAATCTAATCAGGCGACACGCCCACTTCAGAAGTGCCAGTGATTCCTCCCCTGATGGATGGATGGATGTGATTGCGAATGCGAATCTGTTACACTAACAAGCCTTATCATCTGACAAATGGCAAACAGTCGAGCGATCTCCCGCCAGTCCGCTTGACGTCAGTGCACTGCGGGAGAGGAGGAGCGGCATGCGGGAGGGTATTCTGTCATATGGCTCACCCTTTTCCGTTTAGAGCTCAGTTTTAGTCTAATTAAAATGCATTCCGTTCTTACAAGCCACATAAACATCAGTCGAGCTGTCTATCAGTCAGATGCGTGTCGTTACGTATACGCCAGGTGTAACCAAACAAAAACGCTCTAAACAGGGCTAATTGTGTTCCGTGCAAGGGTGTAGCTGTCACCCATTTTGGCCAGAATACGATTTCGGCTCCTTTGGCCTGCGGTTTTTTCCGCTGTTAATCATGATGTCCCCGCACGGACATTGTTTGAGGTGTGTAGGCGCCAACAACCTTTTAATACGGTAGGCAAATGTGTGTTTATGATTTGCATCTGATTCGACCCTATCTGGGAGGGTATATCTACGTAGGGATGCAGCTGGCATACAGCCTTTCCCGAAGAAATACCAGCACTAATGGTTATACAACTATCCCTCCCATATAACACCGAATATGCTATTGTTTACTGATTGTCCACTTGATCCGCATCTGTTCTATTCATCACCCAATAAAAACCAATTGAAAAGAGTATCCGCAGTTCGCTCGCTCGCCCGCCGATTGTGGCGCACTCAAATTAGAAAATATATTGAAATTTATATTTGTGCTGTCTAAGCGTTTGGGCAAACGTCTCATTACAGCGAGGAATTGTGTGAATTTCTAAGGCATATTTGAGTTACCATCTGGAGACATAATTGAATTGCGTCCAATCAGCTCCAATTGTCCGCATTGTGGATCGATCGAATGGCAATTATCATGGCATCAGCACTGGAAACTTTATCGAACTCTGGGAATCGTTGTGGGTGTGTACAGGGCTGTGGGCGTGGCACTTTATTAACACCCCCGATGTGATGCTGGGGTCTGTTTCTGTTTCTGTCTCTGGGTCAGCCACTTGGCAAACAGTCAAAGAGGAAGATGCGACACTATATTTGCGACATGTATATTTTCCGCGTATAATTCTGTTTTAATTGCGGCCACTAAGAATAGAACGTCTTCATTTGGACAAGGTGTGATCATCGCTCAGGAAGAGCCATTTCCGCCGGAGGTTATCCCCAGGCCTGCACCCGTATCCCGTCGAAAAAGATTGCCTTGAGTCACTCGACAAATCTGCCTGCGCGAGTCGCACTGCGACTGCAGAATCTTATCTAGTGAAAGATTTGGTGTATCATAAAAAAGGTATAAGTATATAAGTACTTTTCATGGGATTGTGTATGGATTTTATCATTGCAGAGGCGTTCTGATTTATCATCCCCCAACTGTGACATCATTTTGCCGGACAAGAGATGGATTCCGAAGTGTTTTCTAGGAAGATCCAAAGATCATATTCGCAATACATACATAGGTATCTTTCCATGACTGGCCAGAATGGTTGGAAACAAGAAGGGAGTTCGTTGTGAAATGGTAATTAAGTATTCATTATCATATTTGATTTAGTTTGACGGAGGAGTGTCGTGAAACACGGGGCGGACGAGCAGACGAGGTGAATATAAATATCATTTGTGGAAAAACAACAAACAGCATTGAGTATTTGCGTTGACAGTGCGAAATGATTAACGCGATAACCTCCGCTGGGGCACACAGGCCCCAACCACAAGTGGCAAAGAGAGAAGAATAGAGAGCACAAATCGATGGGAGGGAGGGAGTGAGAGAAAGGGGGGAGCTACAGAGAGAGAGAGAGAGAAAACAACAATGTTCGAGGCGGCGCCGCACTGTGTTAATTTTTGTTGCCATTTTGCAGCTTGACTTTTTGCACACAGGCAGGCCCCAATCCAACACACACATACAGTTATGTGCTCTCCGACAGAGCTCCCACTCTCTCTCTCTCTCTGTGTCTCTCTTGATCTTTGATCACGTTTCCCGCACACGACGGCACCCGAGTCGGGCACTCGGCGCAACGTTCACGTGATAACCATGTGCTCCGCTCCGGCTGCTCTGGCTGCTTCGCCTTTATTTACGATTGTATGAGTGGCTCGATGGAGGCGACAAATGTTCGGGGCAAAAACGAGTCACAAAATGATATTGCTGTTTTTCTGCGAACGGCGTCGAATGCCTGCCCTCTCCGATGACGTAAAGCCCCAGGCCCAAACCATGGAGTGTGGAGAGGGCAGCCGGGTGGAGCAATTTCATCATTGGAGTAGCTTCCTAACCTTAAAACCAACAAAGGCAAAACTGTCGACTCACATCGAGTCGCCCGATAATCACGCATTTCTGTCTCCGACTCAGCCTCTGAGATTTGAGCAAATTACGATCGGCTGATGGCCGAAACAAGGAGTCACACGAAATGGCAACTGTTCTTGCTGATAGCACTGGCCAGAGCTGTTAAAAGTTTTATTATGATTTGGCACTGGCAAGTGTTTGATAAGATCTCTGATTTCGTATAAATAACTCTCCCTTAATTGCTTCTTAATGGATTTACTTCATTATCTCGAGCACTTTGAGGAGAGCAGCTCAATGGGGGATTTTGGTCGAAATTCCAGTGCACGTGTCTTGGCAATGGCAGCGGCTTGCCGTGGGATCTACTCCATAACTGGGACTCATATAAAAATTGTGTTGGCGCGACTCAAACACACTCGGATTCTTGTCAGCCAACTACATATTCTCGCTTATATGTACATACTGGCATATATAGCCCTGCCCTTGTTCATATCGCGTGCTTGAAAGAAGAAAAAAGCTTTATTCAAATTCTGCTTACAAGTATTTTTCCCCATGTTCCCGGTTCCGCCTTCCCTAGCCAACTGCTTGCCGAGTTCGAAGCTATAAAATGTGCACGGAATTTGTTTAGGGCTAGAGATATGTACGCTTAAAATGGGGATTAAGTGATTGCAGCAATTGATTTGCCAGCTCGGATCAGTGAGTGTGATCCCATTATCTGTGATAGGGGAGATAACTGGTAACTTCATAACCAACATTCAATGTAGTACTCATAGTCTAGACCCATTTGTCTGTTGGCCTTGAAATCTTTAAGGAACCCCAACGAAATAGATAAATATATATTGAAAAT